TTTGGGGTTGGAGTTTAGGATTTGGGGTTCAGGTTTAGGGTTTAGGGTTCATGGGTGCTTTGGGCTTAGAAGCTAAACCAATTCATGATAAGACGGGGGCCCTTATAGTTGGGTTTCTATTGACGGACGGGTCCTTGCGCGTTTTTCCTGATGTTGGCAAATAGTAATTTGGGCCAAGCCCTGTATGTTTAGGCACAGTATATCTATATATATGCTTTATGGGTATTCTTATCCAGATTATACAGTAGGTACTGTGTACATGCACATCATACCTTGTTTTTGTTTGAGTCCCTGTCTCCTAAACCCTAAACCCTAAACGAAGCCAAGTAGACCCAAACCTATCCTTTGCGTGGCAAAGCTCAGGAAGTGGAGTGCCGTGACGAGTTCGACCGCAACTACATACACAATGCAATCAAAAGCTGGTACGGCAGCTTAGACGCTTTTTCTGAGTACGTTCGCGGCCCTTTCCGGGAGGAAGTACACCTTCATTTTCAGCTTCCAGTTCTTTACAACTGCATCATCATGACTCCGTTGACCGCGTTTTGTCTTGACTTTGTTGTGGCAATGCTCAAGACCAATGCGCCCGCTGGAGATGTCCTGGCCTACGTCTTGGGTTTCATTGTCGCTCAAAACATGCTTTGGTATCCTGCTTCCCTGACTCTGCTCGTCTATGCCTGCGAACATTTACCCGCCAGCGCTTTCAGAGGGAACCTTTACTTGCAGACTTTGGCGATATCTGGCGGCTTGTGGATCCTTTACGCCCTTGGACTCTCTGTTACTTTAAGTTACCTCTGTTTACCAGGGACTGAACGAAGGAAAGGATCCTTTTAGTAGCCCCGATATGACACAGTAGTTTCCATTTCCTTTTCCACTGCTTCAACCTAAAGGCTTAAATCATAAATCCAGCGGGACTCTCCCTATATAATCTCAATACTATGGTAGTCTTCATTTTCGTGTCCATTCCCTTGAATATCCCTACAAGGACTCTCTATTGCCTTAAATGC